GGGAGCAGGTGCCAGCCACTTTGTATTTGAAATGTTACATTTTCTCCCACTTGAAGTGGAATGACTGACTTTCTTGTTGTAGTAATTCTTCTGTTCTAGCTGCTGTTGTGTGTTGTTTTGTTTTTTGCTACTTCGGGATTACATGCCTTTTGGCTTAAAAGGCTTGTTGGATGCTAATATTGTGCTGTACCTTTCTTTCTCAGGGATATGAAAAAAATACGTGCACACCCCAAGCACAGCAAATTACAGCGCTACAATGTGGCACTGTAAACGGGCTCCCAGTGCTGTTATCTACTCCTCTTGTGGAGGTGGTTTACCTAGAGCTCTGGGAGAGCTCTGTCCCAGCATGGGTGTCATGACCATGCTGCCATGGCAGCACTTTAAACCTTATTTTACAGATAGGGATAGCTGAGAAATAAAGTGATGGGCAAGTCCCTGGCAAAGCGTAGACAAAGCCTACATTTTTTTTCCTTCTACCTCATCTTCTGAATAGATGATTTATATAAAGCATTTTGACATGTGTTTGTTTCCTTACCTGTGCTAAGTAGAGGTTGCTTGAATCTGCCTCCTCTTCTGTGTTGTTTGTGCTAATCCCTCTGTAGTAAGATAAGGGCCTGAAACAAAAGCCCATATAACCCAGGCCTGGTTTGAGGCCTGAGGCCTAGCTAACAAAGGACAAAACTTGTCTAATATTAAGCAAAGCTAAACTGTGAACAAGAGGCAGACACTGCTCACAGAACTTGGCACAAACAGGGCTGACAGTGTAAAACATTAATTGGTAATAGGCCCAGGTGTAGAACAGGAATTGGTACTAGGTACTGACTGTAAAACAGTAATTGGTACTGGGCATATGTTGAAAGCACATTCCAAAAGGACAGTACCACTAGCTTGTTAAGCAATACCTTGGTACCCACACTCCCACAGATAGTTCAGGAAAGGATCTAAAATGACAGGATGATGGATAGAGATGATATAATCAAACCAGGAGGTGTAAGGTGAAGGGTGGTACCTAAATAGTGTCAGAGGGTGGTAAACTGACAATGTCAGGAGTTAGGTGAAACTTGTTTGTACCTGTGTATAAAGAAGTGTCTTGGAAGCACAGTCTTTGTCCGGCCTAGGGGGCGAACCTTCCACTGACTGAGCTGAACCATTGTCAGGGGGTACATATGCATAGTGGACCAACAGAGTCCACTGACAACTATCACTGTACTTTGCTTAACAATAAACCTGGCCAAGCATCTTAGATGCTTCTCTGATTTGAGTTCTTTGCGGGCTCTCTGAGTCTGTTGGGGTGACTAATTATTCAGGTCAACATGGCCCACATGACCGAGTAGACACGCATGCGGCCTTCTTGTTATCACCATTGATGGAGCAGGAGATCTGTCAGGACAACATGACAATAAATCCTGACCTACTACACTTTTAATACTAGTTTAAGGGCTTCAACTGACACATCAGTGAGAATTGCCAAAATGAACTGTTTACAGAGCTAGGCAGCAGCTGAGCAGGAGTTTTGTGGACCACATTGGTGCCCAGAACTAGAATTTAGGTGCCTAAGTGTGGGGTTTAGGTGCCTAAGCACCTCTCTGTATGTCTCTGTCCTTGCTCTGACTCCTGCTAGCTCATTCCTATTAGAAGTGACTCAGTCTTGAGTGTCAGATAAATGCTTCTAAAGAGGAAATTTTGTACCTTTTGGAGCAAAAGACTTTTCCCTCAAAAGACAAAAACTGTCCATTAGAAGGCTGCTCCAGCACCTTCTGCCAGAGCTTCACCTTCCTCTGCCCAATTTCACACTACCTAGCGTGAGAACCATACCATGTATCCCATACATTGTTCAAGAATGGAGCATAAACATTTCCAGCAATGTGTAGTTCACCCCACTGGTTTGCATCCTTCCTTGGCTATGGATATGATGAGAGAGTTTTGACTTTAAATGGGAAAACAAACAAATTTTTCCCATTCCCTCCTGCCTTTTCTTTCAAAGTATGTGCATGAGTAGTTTTACAGAGGCCCTGGCTCAAATATTGATAGTCAATTTAGTAATATACTAAGTAAACAACAACAGATGGAGGGGGAACAGTTTTGTTGTTATAAGTTTTTTGGTCTGGGAATAGTTTCTCAGTGTGATTCTTCTCATTAGATTTAAAATATCTTGTTACCCACCTGAGCTTTCTAGAGACCTATCACATTTCCCTTACTTTTAAAGTGAACAAAAATAAAAGGAAATTTACTATCTGAAAATTATATAATGTCTGCTTAATTGTAATACAACTCCTTATCTATTTCATTCCCAAGTTAAGATGACTGAATGAAACACTCTAGACCCAGCTGAACACTGAGACTGTTGTTTTGCACTGTGCCTTGAGGAATTTATTTGCAATTGCTTCACTTGCTAGCAATTAATTATATGAGACAGAAATTGTTTTCCAATATCTGAAGTAATGTTGACACATTGTAAAAGTGAAGCATACAGTCAGAGGATCCCCTGTGTCTCTATAGTTCCAGTTAATGTGGTTTGCTGAGGCAATAGGTACAGCCCTGCAAATCTGCAATTTATATCTGTGGATGTAGATATCCGCAGATCATGTTTGTGGATCGCGGATTGGATGCAAATTTAGTATCTGTGCAGGGGTCTAGCAGTTTGCACTCAGGGACAACCTGTTTAGAAGTGCTTGCATTTATTTGATGTTAACATTATGCAAGTATAGTAATTCCAAATGCAAAGCATTTCAAAGTTACTGTTCCTAAAATAGTTACTGTACAAACAAATATGCAGGTAGGGAACCCATCAGAGCCAAAACTGAATTTTAAAATGCTTTAGGTTGCATGCTTCAAGAAACAAAATGAGATATTTTGATTCCCATATAAATGAACAGATAACTTTGTTTTCTGAAGTACTCTTTATACTCTCCTTTCCCTTAAGCAGTGTTACATAGAAAGCTTACCTCAAATCCTTGCTGACATACAAATTGCATCGTGCATAAATGGAAAGTGCTTGAAGACAAGGGGATATTTTAGGACTCTGATAAGCAGTTTCAGACTCTTATATAAGCTCTAAAGAGTTTGATATCTTTGAATTAAAGATGGGCCCAGATCTCAGCAGCCCACACACTGGGAGTGTTTGAAATCCAAATTCAGCTCAAGCTCATAGTCATTTGAATGTGAAAACACTTCAATTGTGTATGTAGAGGCAAGTGATTCATACAATAGAACACCGAAATCTTTGAAAATGAAATAGGTGAGTGTTTCTGATGGGGAATATAGATCATGCAATGAAAATGTTTGGCTCCGTCTGTCTTCATATTAAGTGGGATTTTTGCTTTCACGGATCCTGATTATTTTTAAAATAGACTGAACCACAAAACCCAGGCCTGCGCACAGGTGATTTCAAGCGACAGGGCCAAATGTTCTGCCTTCAGTATCTTCTCTGACAGCCTGATTCTCCATCATTTCACACCAGTTTTCTCTCAGTAAACCCTGCTGAAATCATTAGTTATATCAGGCTTCAACTTGTGTGACCTGGTGGCGAATAAGGTACAGAATCTTCATACTAACAAGTGAACAGTTAGTCTGAGGGGGCCTGGTGACCACCTCTCACCATTGGGCCCTATGTTAGTAGACAAAATTGCTCTGATGTAGAAGATACTCCATTAATAATGAGTTCACATGGTTACCAATACAACTGAAAATGTGAAGTAGGGAACTACCTGAGTCTGTTCAGTAGCAGGACACTCACTATAAATGCCCAGTTAATTTTCCAGCGTACTTGTTTGTGCTTAAAACAACTCTTGTTGCTTTCTAGTGAATTGCTTTAACATGCAATGTAGCTTTAGCGTGGCACCAGTAAAATGTGTTTAGAAATGTTCCTTTATCCAAATCTATGTGCAGCATTCTTAAATGTTTCACTGCCCTGTGGTGTCAGTTCCTACCCTTTTGCTCCTCTGTGTTGCTGAAGCATTGCCATCAATTATTTGGTTCCATTTCTGTCTGCATGTCTATGTGATCAAAAGTTTAGGATTAATTTTAGGACTGTTTGTTTACACTGACTGTCAGAGATTTGTGTTGCTACAAACAAACTCATAACACTAAGGAAAAACATTTTAATATTTGCATTGGCTTCCATGAAATGAGATGTTGAGTGCTTGGGATTTACAGAAGTGCCTAAGCATTTTCAACTATGTAACTTTGCTTCCAAAATATCCCGATTTTTATACAGAGCACTGGCTTCATTCTTTGACAGACTTTATTAGCAGATCAATGGTATACACTTAATTCATTAATGTAAAACTACACACTACAATCATCTATAAATGAACTCCAAATGTGTTAATTGTAGGGCTCTCGGATGGTGAATGTAGACATTACAGTGCAAAGATTCATCTTAGTCACTGGTATTTTTCTCTTCATAACAAGTAATACTTTTGCTTTCACAATTCCTGACTGGAAACATGAAGGATTTATGCTTGCTCGTTAGTGTTTATTCTGTTATTTTGACACACAATCACAATGTCACCTCCATGGAAGAGATGATTTACAGGGGCATATTCCTCTTTCAAGGCCCATGCAGAAGCTAATGAGAACAGAAAGGAGAATATTTCCCTAAAGCTGTGTAAGTCAGCAGCATATACATTTTCATTAGTATTTTTGTTTTTAAGTCTGCATGGGACAGTGAGGAAACTGTGCTGTTATTTCCACTAAGCCAAAGAGAATAGAAAACATTATTCATTTTAAGACTAGTCTATAAAGTTGGCAAGTCTGGGTTTTATTTCCATAAATTAAAGCATGGGAAATGTTATATTTGAATTGCCTTTTTAATATTCCCCAAAACCAAATCCAACTTTCTTTTAAAGCTTCCAGCTAACTGCCACAGGACCACTGTGTCTGGCAAGAAAACTGCGCTAGACTGTAATTGCTCGGTGCTGCTTTCATATAAATGTCATGATGATGGTTGGCTCAATTGTTCTTGTCCTTTTGCAATGCATGCATTTTTGTGGCAGTAGGTTACATTTCCAGACGGGCAATGCTTCAGCAATTACATGGAGTCAGTACATTCTCACATGACGAGCGTCACTATGCCACTTACACATGGATGGAGAAAGGTAAGGCTTGACAACACTGCCTGCATTTTTATCCTAACATGTTAGCTGAAGTATCCTGTATTTTTCTGTCGCTGTGAGGGGGTAATAGAGGCTCCACAGTCAGGGGAAGTCAGATACAAGACACTGATTTTATTTGTCAGAAATGTTTCTCCACAAGCTGTTGACAAAAATGTGAACATAACATGACAAGCAAATTAATGTTATAAACCAACAATTGATTCATGTAGGTCAAGCCATGTCTGAATAACCCAATCCATATATAGGGCAGAATTGAATGTAAACATTGAGGAGAAAGGATAGTTGTTTTTAGTTGGGCAGAGGTAGCCTGACAGGCCTACTACGCCTACTTTGAAGCTCAGAATTTATTATTAGTCATTTGGATGGCATAATCAGTGTACACACTACATGCCACTTTGCAGTAGGCAAGCTTCAAATGAGAATAAAAGCAACTGTTGGCGGGGGCTATCTAATGGATAAACAGATACCATACAACATGTCATACCAAACTGTAATTTGTGAAGCACCTGCTAAAGGGTCTGTGGAGATTTGTTTTTTTGAATGGTCGTGGCTGCATTTCTCTGGTTTCGAGCTGCTTCTACAGGTATTAAGAAAGAGCCCAGAGACCTATAAAAGCAGTTAGAAGCTGGGAGAAAGAGCAAGCGTAGCTCCATCTACTAGGAGGAGAAGCGGAATTAGGAACCAGTAGCAAGAGGAGATTGCTCAGGGCAGAAGAAAATGAGGCATCTAGGGTTTGAAGAAATGGGTGGAGGAGGTCTGGTTATCAGGCCACGAATCCAGGATACAAGGAAATTTAGTGGTAGAAAAGCATGTTCAGGGGAGAGAGCACCATATAACGGGAAGAGACAAGAAGAACGGGATGAGGTAGCAGAGGAACATTTGCCCTGGAAAGAAAAACAGGACAGACTGGGGAAGAGAAATGAAGGGTAACAAAATTGACCTTATTAAAGAGAGCTGTAAATAGATTTATTTCCTAAGAGCGCTGGCCCAGGCAATACATTCCTTTGGTTGCCAAGGAGCTGTTCTGTGTTCATAATTGGGAGGGGTGGCAGTAGCCCTTATGATCATCAGTGGGAAGAGGAGGAGTCCACAAAACAATCTATATTAAGAAGATACAATGAAGATACTTGAACGCCCTTGTGTACAGTAGGAATGTTCAATTTCAATTAATTAACTAATCAGATAGTAAATGGGATTTCCATCGACTATTCAATTAGTTGATAAGAACTTCCGCGTTCCGCCTTTGAAATGTACAAGAGTCCCAGCAGGGGCTCTTGTGCGTTTCAGAGATTGAAACGCTGCGTGGAGCCTGGGGCCAGCTGGGAGTTCCGCTGACCCCCAGGCTTCATGTGGCTGCCAACTTTGAAAAGCACAAGAGCCCTCGCTGGGGACTCCTGTACTTTTCAAAGCAGAAGCACCGCATGGAGCCTGGGGGTCAGTGAGGGACTCAGAGACCCAAGCTGGCCCTAGGCTCCATGCAGCACTGCTGCTTTGAAAAGCACAAGAATCCCAGCGGGAACTCTTGTACATTTCAAAGATGGCCACTGCTGTGCCCTTGCCCCCTCCCATGGAGCTGGAGGGAACTGGCTTTTAAGTCAGCTCCCTCCAGCACCCCCTCTCCTTGTCCCTTTCCTCCCCCCCCCCCCCCCCCCCGCCCTCCCGGCCTCCGTCGTTGGGCGC